AAGGAATAGGTTGCATTAAAAAAAAATTGTCGTTTGATTTCCGTCTACAATTTACAAATGGAAAGGTATTTTTTGCCAATCCCTATCAGCCATGTGAGTGGGTTGTAGGCAACTCCTCCAACCGGAGTTGGAGCAAAATATTGGATTTTTTCCAGAAATACCACAAATTAAAAAAAAATCCAAAAATACCACCCATGTCTGAAAAATTCCAAAAATACCATCATATTTCGAAAATCGCATCGGGCAGGGGCTTTTTACTTGACCGCATGAGGTCGGGGCGGTTTCGATCGATGCCTAACCTAAGTAAAAAACTAAACGAGCGTAACTTTGTGCTCTAGAATCCGATCCTAACAAAAAAAATTTATTCCGCATAACTTTTCGAGATCTTGCAAGTCACAAATGCCGTATGCAATTTGGTTCCGCCTTCGTCCCGAAAAAACTTCATTTGCTACCCCGAATGAGCTTTTTTCCAATTTCGCCAACTATGAACAGCCATAACTATGTGCTCCGCACTCCGAACGCCTTGAATTTTTTTTTATTTCGCCTAAATATTCAAGGACTACAACTTTTATCATAGCCATAATTTTGGAATGTACGTGGTGGTTGACCCCATGTAAAAATATTTGTATCACGTCATGAGTTCACTGCCCATGATGCTCATCGTCGACGACACTCACTGGTCTCCTCGCCGACGGTGCTCACCGCCCTCAGCACTCGTCGCCCACGGCGCTAACCGGTCTCGCCGGCGACGATCACTGGTCTCGCCACCCACGACGCTCATCGCCGACGACTCTCACTGGTCTCGTCGCCCACGGTGCTCACCGGTCTCACCCCCTTGGCGCTCATCGCCGACGATGCTCACCAGTCTCGTCATCGATGACGGTTACCTCCCTCGGCGCTCATCGATGATGGCGCTCGCCGCATACGGGGCTCACCGATCTCGACGACGGCGATCACCGTTCTCGCCACCCACGGCGCTCATCGGCGACGACTCTCATCGGTCTCGTCGCCCATGATACTCACCGGTCTCACCCACTCGGCGCTCATCGCCGGCGATGCTCACCAGTCTCGTCGCTGAAGGCGCCTATCGTTCATGGCGCTCGTCGCCCATGGCGCTCACCGGTCTTGCTGACGGCGATCACCCATCCCGCCACCCATGGCGCTTATCGCCGATGGCTCTCACCGGTCTCGTCGCCCGTTGCGCTCACCGCTCTCACCCCCTCGACGCTTATCGCCATCAACGCTCACCAGTCTCGTCGTCGACGGTGCTTACCACCCTCGGCACTCATCGTCGACGGCTCTTGCCGCCTGCAACGCTTACTGGTCTCGCCGCCCACGACTCTCACCGGTCTCACTGCCTCGGTGTTCATCGCAGATGGCGCTCACCGGTCTCGTTGTATACGACGCTCACCACCTTCGCCGCTCATGCCGGTCTTCTCCTTTACGTGACACCCTTATTGGGCCATCACCTGCCATGGCGAGCTAACGCATGAGGTGATGACACCTCCGCCTCTGACGTGTTGACCCAATACAATCGCCGCCGCCGCGTGTCCTCCGTTGTCCCCCAGACGTCCACTATAAAAGGTAACTCTCGTTTTTCACCAAAGGTATGAAAAAGGAGCTATCACTCGCCCAGGCCCTCCTCTCCTTCTCTACGTCTTAACTTCATTCTTCCCCTCAATTTATCACTTGATACTGACTTGAGCGTCGGAGGGTGTCCTCACCGAGTTCGGTCGGCGGACCTTTTACAGGATGTGGTGGGAGTCGGCGTCACGAACAAGGATTGCGGTGTAAGGTGATTTGAAGCCTCTATCGGTGCCTGTAGCAAGAAATCTGACGTCACCGAAAACCCCGACATCAACACACGGATTTCTGAAAAGTAAAGCTAATGTTATTGCCAAAATCCCATATATAAAAAAATGATTCCTGTTTTGGAAATTTCTTCCTACTAAAAGTTGTGGTCCTTATAAAGTTATGCTAAATGAAAAAAAATAATTCATGACGTTCGGAGTGCGAAGCACAAAGTTATGACCGTCCAAAATTCGACTTAGGTGAGGCGTCGATCGAAGAAAAAAAAATACTTACAAACCCCAGCTTAGGGGGGGCGGTTTGCACATAAACCGTTGCTTCATGGTGCGGTTTGTCGGACCGCCCCGCCCAGATGCTGTTATCAGCAAAAACTTCGTCCTTCCCAAGCGGTTTTCGAAAAATGGTTGTATTTTTAGATTTTTTTGAAAATGGGTGGTATTTTTGGAATTTTTATTTATTTAGTGGTATTTCCAATAATAATCCCTATATATTAAGTTTAATACACCTGCATAGCCATAACTATCCACGTTTTGACAAACATAGCCAAATTTTAAAAATTACATTAAAATAATCATTCTAACCATAAGTTTAACGACATAATGATATATGCAGACTAGACTAAGATCATTTGATGATGTGGCGACTTTTTGCCAAATTGGAAATTACTTATTTTTATTGTAATACTAACTGGGAAAAAAGAAACCAAAAATTTAAAAATAATAAAAAGATAAATAAACTCATATTTAATATCTATCATCACCGCTTGACCTTCCCCACCATCTCATCCCTTCCCATCAGTTATTCATGACTTCTAGCGAGTGAATCGAGAGCTGCGGCTAGCCTCAGAATCTCTTTCTCATATTCTCTGATACTAGCCTCAAAATCTACTCTTCTTCGAAAATCCCCAATATACAAACCCAATCAAACAAAACTTCCCCAATTCAAAAATTTCCCCCGTTTGGATACAGATCCAACTCGCCATCACCCGTCCTTCCTCTGACCTTCAACACCGTCCTCGTCGTCATCTCCGTGGTGAGGAGGCAGATCGAGGGAAATCGAGATGTTGGGGATTGTGTATTGAGTGGTGCTGGAAAATGGGATTCTGGCGACTGTGTGACAACTCGGGGAAGGGAGGGACAGAGGTATAAGGAGTTCGTGGCGGAGTGAATTCTAAGGAGGAGGAGCGGGTCGACGATTCTCAGAACGCTCTCCCTCTCTCCACTGATACATCTCCCACCCTTCAACTAGCCTCCTCTCATCTCCCGGTGAGTTTTGTTCCGGAATCGATGAACCTAGTATCCAATTGGTGGCGGTGGTTGTTCTAGGAATTTCCAGCTTTCGAAATTGGGATCAGATCTTAGACGCCACTCTCTCCTCCGAGACGAATGTCGCTGCTACCTCTGCCGCCGATGTCACCCCGCTGGACATCGTACTCTTAAAAATTAAATTTTTGGAGTTTATTTACGAAACACAAGTGGCAGACATGTGTCATGATATGGCTTAGTTGGAGATGATGTATTGTACAGGTGGCATCCACGTAAGCTTAATTTTCACTTAACTGATGGAGCAATTAACGGTGTTAAAGTATTTAGCGTAAATGGCTAAATTTGACAAATTAGTTTTAAAAGTATGGTTATATTTATGTATTTTTTAAATTTTGGCTATGTTTGTCAAAACGTGAATAGTTATGAATATGCATGTATATTAAGCCTAAATATTATCCCATGCTAAAACGGAAGTATCTGAAATCAAACCTTCTTAACGGTAATGGAACGAAATCCCTTCTATTCCGGATAGACAGCTTTCCCATTTCCGGACAGTTTCTCACTGGAAAACCTTCTGAAGCCCCAAAAAATGGCGGCTTTCTTTCCTTCTCCACTCGACTCAGTTCTCTAATCGACGGTTCTGGAAATGTCTGAGCGAGAGAGCGAGGCGTGATCTGGGCCTGGTAGGGCGAAGGGACATTGGAAGAAACGAAAGCCGTAATGGAAATGCCCAAGAAGCTCTAGATTGAAGCCAAGAAGGAAGGCTCCGATTTGAAGGCTTACTTTGGATGTGCTGCCTTCCGGAGACCACTGATAGTGATTGATTCCACTATATTCTGGTGATCTCTCTCCCGCCCGGCTTTATGTGATTGATTGACATTTGTGGGCTGATGAACTCGTTTGTTTGTCAGAAGCGGAGCTTGGCGAACTTCAAGTTTGGTCGCCAATTTTGTGCTTTCTCAGATTGTCCAAGAAAATTTCCATGCTTTACTATATTTTGCGTTGATAGTATCTGTCTCTCTCCCTAATGCCTTTCGAAATTCAACTGCTGAGCACAACTATAGCAGTAAAGCAATACTTGGGCGGGAGTTGAAGAGAGTTGAAGAAGAGATTTTAGAGCCTAAGCCACATCTGTTTGCCTGTTTCCTTCCCCCTGACACTGGAAGATTTTTTTTTTTTTTTTTTTTTTGGGACAATTGACACTGGAAGATTTCACTTGGGCAATGGGAGTCCCAGAATCAAGAGTAATCTCGCGTCTTTATGGCAAAAATCTTGTTCTCATCCCTCTAGCAGACTTGGTCAGCCTGTTCTTTTTTCCTAAGAGGGTTAAAAATAAGTCTACTATTGAGAATTGAACCCCTTTTCCCAGAACAAGTAGCTAATGGTTGCTTTCTGTGATATGCTTTCTGGAATATCCTTAGGTGAATCACAACCCTGATATAACGACTGAAGATTATGCTTATGAGATTAAAGTTGCCGGTTTTTTCTCTCCAGAGATCTCGTTTTCTTTGAAATCCCCAGTCCCAGTGAAGGCTGGTGATGAATTCACATGTATCTTTTTCTCCTTGCTTGTACAATTTCAATTTACCATATTCTTAGCCGTTTGCGAGGCCAAATCAGCTCACATCTTCTAACGCTAAACACTTGATGAAATGTAGAACGCCATAAATTGTTAGGTTGCCTGAAACTTTGTGTTCACTTGAGCTTTGCGGGGGTTTTAATTCAACAGGTTCTGATTCAGTACGATCTAAACTGGAGCAACGCAGAACTAGCTCTAGACTAAGGACTCATACAGTCAAAACTCAACCGGAATGTGTATACAGTGACCCTTCAGATCTCCGAAACATATCAGTTCATCCGAGAAAAGCTCAGATATAGCCGAGACAAATGGCTCCGGAGAGAGGCAGAGAGTGACATAATCCTAGGCTATCCTCTACCACCTACACTGCTTCCATACTTGCGCCTCATTGCGCTTGCTTGGAGCTCATATGCCAGGTGGCTCGAAATAGCTGCAGAACTGCTCTTTCTGGGAATCACACCACCATAGTAGAGGTGAGAGCTCTCTTACACGCCTTTAGAATCTTTAGCATTTTTCAGGTACCAGTAACCTGATTGGGAGGGGAAACTGATAACAGGATGATAAGCTGATGGAAGTGGGAGGTTTGCGTGCAAGACTAGGTATTGCAGTGGGAGTAAGAGCCGGAGAGAAGAAGGTTTTGCAGAACACTGATGAATTTTTCAAGCAACGTGAGAAAGAGCTGGACAAGATCGAATACTACCAAGAAATAAGGCTCAAGGATCTTAGCCTGGTCGGGAACCAAGGTGGTATCATCTTCAGGGCACTACTTGTCAGCATAACTTCTGATTAATCAGAGATGAGAGAACCTTAACATGTGAGAGCCAAAGTCGATGTATGTATTGCTAGAGGAAATTCTTTTTCCTTTGATGTGGGCAGTGTGACTACAAGAGGCTTACAACCAAATGTTCTTGAGCAGGAAAATGAGAATGCTACACTTGCAACTATGGAACCGTGATATTATCTAACACTCGGTGATTTTCGCCATAAGGAAATGTGGGGGAAAACAAAAAGAATAAAAAACTATCGACAAAGGTAAAAAACAAAAAAGGAACTAAATGGGGCATCACCTTTTCCTTGCTGTTTCTTACAAAGAGCCTGAACTTGTGTGTATAAACTTCTGAGTCTCATTGCAGCCATTAAAGCCACCAAATGCCTGTGCATAACATTGAGAGGGGGACACCTCGCCTCCTTTGCGAGCTTCCCTCCTGGATGTGTCATGAGCTACAACACTTATGCCATGCCATCATCATCAGGGGACAGAACTGGAGTTGGAGTTACCCCTGCCAAGTAGGTCATCGCAATTGTTTGCCTCACAAAGACACTCTTGAGGGTTTGAGTAGAAGTAATCCTCCTCCTTTGGCTTATCTGGGATAACCCTGCGGCGAATTGGCTGCCCCATCCTTTTCTCATGTGCCTCCCTGACAGCGACTGTGAATTCATTCCATGGGAGTGTACCATTCTGATGCAAATTCAGCAGCTCTACGAGTTTTCTTCGATCAAGCAGGATAGTCTTTTTGAATCCAAGATACCTACACCAAGCTCTATAGTCAGAAACCATATCTGGGGTATTTTATTTCAGCAAAAAATAGTTAACTTGTAAGCTACAACAAACTTTACACTCTAATCTAACTTTTTACCCTAAATCCCAAGTCTTTCAAATGTAAAAGTCACCTCCTGATAAAGTTTCATTTCCAAATTTGCTCCTTGGAATCTCTTCTTTCTACTAGAACTTCAAAAAGATTACTTATTTTGAGCGAAGTTCAAACAAACACAACCCTGGTGAAAGAATATGTACCCTTTAGCAACTAGAATAATGAAGCATAGACAATGACTATGTACCTGCGATGACCTTCAACCACTTTAGCCATGTTTCCATCGTATGTAGGAACAAAAGTATTGCTAGCTACTGAGACCATAAAATCCAGGGCAGCCATTTGAGATGAATGGTTCTGGAACTGCTGCAGCTCCAATGGATCTAATAGTGTTTCCTTCCTCACCTGAAGATATTTGTGAGGCCAAGATTTCGTGAATAAAACAATGGATATTTAAGAAGTCAAGCAGTAAGAAACTCACAATACGAGGGAAAGCAGCTCTTAATGCTGCAAGCCTTCGCTCACTGCCATATATTTCACCCGCTGCTACATATATCTGAGTTTCCTTGTCAACCCCTAATGCTTGTAAAACTAATGCTGCTTCTTCTGGCGTTAGAGGGCATAAACCTTGGGATCTTCTCTCCACAGAGTTTATCTCCTTTTCTCTCCACCAAGGATATGCATACCTGATTCAGAAGTTCAACTTGGTGAATAACCTTAAGACCATCATCCATTTGCAACAGAGAAATGCGACCATATCAACCTCAACCCAGGCACGGAAATATTTTGAGTAGAGGTGATTGCTCCCAAATCTTACATGCTGAACAAAAATCAACTTAACAATTGATTAGCAGGGGTCCCTTTCTCAAGACTACATATCAAGTTATGACATCAACCAGGTGACCGAAAGAGGAAAAGAAAGAGAAAACGTTGTTTCGAGATTGTTTCATGTCACTCATGCAAGACTACTCTGGTTATTGTTTAAGCTTTCCTCTCCACAAACTCACAGCAGATATTCAGTACAGTCTAGTATTTTCTTCTAAAGGTTTGGATGCAATATGATCACAACAGCTATGTATTTGATTGCAAAAAACTACATACCTTAACCGTTTGAGCTCTTCGGCTTCTTCCTGTTTACAACCATGGGTACAACCAGAGAAGGCCAACATGTCCATCTCATATCTTAGATGCAAAGCCATAAAAGGTCCCCTTTGATGAAGAATGTGTACCAATTTGTGGCCCAAACTCTCAATTTGAGGAGTGAATTTTAGTGCCTGAAAATTAACACGGCACCGGAGCTTCTGAAGTTCAAGTGGAATCATGTTATTAGCCAAGCGTGCATCTGTACGATTAAAGTGCAACACCTTTGACTTGTTGAAAAGTGGCAAAATCTGTGGTGCAAGAATCCAAGGAAAGTGCAACGGTAAGGGAAAATGGAAACTCGGGAAAATTACATGGCCAAAATGTTCAGCTAATAGTACCATCAGCAGCCAGAAATAAAAGCTAGGAAGAATTGATCACACCTGCTGTAAGTAGTAATTTTCATTTGACCAGCTAACAGGTGGCATCTCCAATACTCCATGTCGATACTTCTTACTAATCCTCTTTGGCAGTCTTCTAACAATTCGAACTTCGTCTCTCAGCGAGTCAATGAAATGTCTCACATCAAAGATGTCTTCAAAATCACTGTAGAGGAGAAGATGAAAGTCGAATCATTTAGGAGAACATAAGAGAAGAACCCACATCAGAGCTTATAGAGGAAAGCAAAGTTACCTGGGGTCAGCCCAAAAAGACGTTTTATCAAGCTCTGGAACAACCAAAGTAAGGTTCAATAGCCGAGCAACAGCCACCATGTCACAAATCTAGAAAAATGGCATCCTTCTAGGGTTAATAATCTGGAGAGATATGGAGCATGTAAATGACAGAAGAGGTAAGATTACAGACCGCTGAGCGCATTTGATTCAAACCCCCATTGCAGGACACCTTAAGGAAACCATTACTGGTATAATTTCCTGCAACATTTTGTAAGTGACTTAACATCAATATTATCTTCACTGGATGTTGAACACAATCTGGGAAAAGTATAAACAGATTTGCATGGGGTAATTGAAAAACAGGACTATGTGATTGATACGCTGAGAATTCGACACTCCCAAGTGATTGATGCAGCATTATTAACGTGATATATCCATTTATTCATCCTCCCAGTAATCAATCTATATTCCTGGCCATTCATACACAAGTAAAGCTACTAATCAGAAAGTAATAGCACCACCAACTCTGGAATCCTTCAACCAGAAGCCACATAACAGGAACTAGCAAAAGCAGCACGTAAGAGCAGTGATTTAGAAGACAGTTTGAAAGGCAGCTTTGAATTAAAGGAATCCAAATGTAAGCAGCTGAGAACCCCAGGAGCTGCCAATGGACACTGAGAAGTAAATGCTACGCTCTGAGGGAGGACTTTAGTACAAGGAAGAGAGACAGACAGACAGACAGAAAGAAAGAAAGAGTTGCATTGGATGAGAGATCACAAGCAAGATTCCAACCTACACTAGTTTATATAGTCTCAGTCAACTCCAACTGCGACCAAAATTTTCTTTTAAATATCTGAAGCCATGAATAATAAATATTCAAACTTGCAGCAGCACGTCATCTACCCAAATAAAATCACCAGAATTCCCACACCATTCCAACAATTACAAATGAAGGAAAGAATTAGTGGAAAAGGAAAGGAAGGAAGCAGACTCACTGGGTGGAGGAAGAGGAGGCGGTGGCTGAACGGCGACTTGAACGTGAAGAGGCCCGGCGATCTGAGAGAATCTAGTAGTTAAATTAGTGATGAAACGTGGGTGCCAGAGCTCCCCAACTGCCACCAACTGAACCAAGCAAGTCCATACGAGAATACTGGAGCAAACCCTTATGAACCACACCTGCAACCTTTTCCTAGGGATCACTGGACTCAACCCACCAAGCTTCTCCGACCTCAACCCGACGCTCTCAGATCTAATCTCCATTCCTCTCTTCTTCTCCTCATCGCCGCTTCATCGAAGAAAAAATTGAGTTTTTTTCTTTCTTTTGGGGGTAAAAAAGGGGCTCTCGATTCGAACCAGTTCAATTCTCTCGAGAGCGAAATCCCTAACAAAGCAATGGCATTGCCCAAATTGCCCCACCAAACCACAGAGATTCCATTTTTTCAGCGGAAATCACGAACCGAGACGAGAGAGCAGCTCCTCCGTTGCTGGGAGCCGAACCCAGAAATGTGAACCGAAGCAATTAAAGGATCAAAACTTTGAATTTGATCACGGGATTGGAATGGCGAGCAGCCGCGCGAGAGAGTTACTCAAGAGAAAAGTGAGAGAAAAATAAAAAGGGGGAGAAGAAGAGAGGGGGAAGGGAAGAGAATGAATCGCAATACTCAGGAGCCAAACAGAAAATTAAGAAGTTTCTTTTTCCGGTAAAATTCTCTCGTCTTTACTCTCTGTATCGGTTCGGTTGGAGAAGGTAAGGAAAAAATTTAATCGAAAATAACTGTAGAAAAAATAGAGTCATTGCCCATTGGGTTATTTTATATATATATATATATATATATATCATCTCGGTCATATCAATGCAATGTGAACTCCGAGAAGCTAAAGCTCAGAGAATCGACGGCTTTGATTGAATTGCTAACATTAAGATAATCCGAGGGGAATTAATTAAATGATTAATTACTTGATTTCCCCCACACCTGATTTACTAAATTGAGTGTTTTTTTCCCGCGCATAAGGATAGTAGAGTAGTAGTACATGGAGATTTACGACCAGAGAAAATCAGGCTTAGTCGGAAACCTGCGGATTATTTGTCCAAATCTGTTGACATTTGTGATTTGTTGTTTTCTGTAGGTTACTTATTTTTTCAGGTTTCTTATTGAATAAACAATCAAGTAGGTATAGAAAAATATATAAAGTATGCATTATATTTTCCTTGATATATGAGTACGGTATAGTGATGGGAGGAAAAAGTTTTACTTGGGATTTGGGAATCAATATTTGGTGGAAATGGAATGCCCTTTCACTCTTCCGGCTCCTTTTGAGTAGCATGTCAAAAACATCAATAATTTTTTTACATATTACAAGAGAAAAGGCAATGATTAGATTTTTTTAATCTCAAAAGGTATCATAGATTGATCAAAATATAGGCAGTTACACCCTGAATATCAGCCAGGACTAGAAATCAAAAAAGCGACTCATAGTCGGATACAAAGAAAGGGCTTTCCT